AAGAAGCAACGTTCACACGTTGGAAACGATGATCATTGGAGAGTTCGTGAGGCACCCAAGCACCTTCTTTATGGAGTTTTCCCATATTCCTTTGATGTTACCGTATTGTTTTATGAGAAACATGCAATTTCAAGGCCATTTCACAAGTGTGTTGCCTTGGGTTAGACTCATCAAAGCGTCTTCAGAGCATCAATATCAATTCCAACATGTCGGCCCCTGCCATCACAGTTTTTAAGGCTAATTTCTCCTGAATGAAATTTACTGAACCACCGTTGACTCTTACGAACGTTCAAAATATTTCCATAAACTTCTTTGATATTCTTCGTGGCTACAGAGGCGTTGTTTCCTTTCTCTTTTTTTTTTTCAAACAGCATTACACGCCGAATGTGTGTCTCATCGTGTATAGATTAGAGTATACTAAACTTTACACATTATGTGACGTTTAGGCGGTTCGTTTAACTATTATACGTGTTGTACGTTTTTGGGGGGTGGTTAATGAAAGTGTTCCAAAACGCGACATTAATTTCTTGACGACCTTATATTTCACAAACTTTAAGCAATTTCCCAATACAATATAGCACCTTTGTTTGTTTGTAATTAAGCACAAAGCTACACAATGGGCTATCTGTGCTCTGCCCACCACGGGTATCGAAACCCGGATTTTAGCGTTGTAAGTCCGCAGACATACCGCTGTGCTACTGGGGGGGAAGTCTGTTTTGTATCGGAATAATAAAGAATAACTACTAAATATCCTTCTCATGTGGCTGTAAATGTATGTTGTGGACTGCATGGGCTAACCTGACATACAGAATGTCCCAAGATGTTAATGCACTTTTAAAAAACATGCTCAACACTATAGAATTAATTTCAAGTGTATAACTGACTTTTATTAACAAAGCAAAGACATTAGTTTGTTTTTCATCTCTACGAAAATCATGCAAAATATTTCGAAATAGTGGCAATAGATATGACATGTTCTCTGGTTATCTTACATGACATATCAATATTATATTAAAACTTGATATGTCATCTCTGTATATTTCCTTTTGGAAAATGTGGTTCTCTAAAGAGAAAGAGGGAGAAAAAGTGATATTAAGAAAAGGGACTCGTGGGCATGGAACTAATAAAATGGAATTGAAATGCTATTATATAAATCTTTTTTAATGGAAATGCTCATTGAGCCGGTAAATAATAATGGGATTCAAATTACTATCAGTTTTAAATTAATCGCACGCACAATATTACCTATCACAACAACATCGTAACAACAGGAACAGTACACGTTGTGCCTGAAGTTTTATCCTGATGTATTGCACTGTTCATTCGCACGATGCTTAAATAATATGAACTGACTGTATGAGAAATGATGGATAAAGTGAGGCTAAGATTATACGTTAGCTGTTTCATCTCACTTATAAACACGAACAGATTTTTTAATTACAGTTTAATAGGCATTTTTAATTCACCTCACGACGTGATAGCGACAAACCCAGAAAGATAGTGTGATAATAGTTTAAAACTATTAAGTTTGTCCTTTGTTTTGTTTGTTTAAATTTGTATGCATGACACATCTTTAACTCCTAGTAATGAGCTAAAATACGTCAGTGATATTACATCCCTTCGATTAACAATGGGAGTATATTATGTATCCACAGTTAACATAATTTCATGGCATAAGTGTACCATTGAGTTGTTTAAAATGTTCTACAATATCTTATGATAATTACAATTCACTTATTCTATGTAAAAATTAAGAAAATAAACAATGATTCATTCATAAAACAAACTTTTATCAAGTACGCGTATTTCAATCTTTTATATAAGTCTGTTTTGTTTGTCAAGTAGTGAGTTTATCAGAGTATTTGAGTTGTGACTACAATACTATGCTACCACATCAAGTAGTAAGCTGACCAAGATGGTTGGATAGTGTTGTGTAATTACATCAAGCAGTTAATTTTTCAAATAGCTAGGTAGTGGTTAAAATACTTTGTAGTTATATCAAGTAGTGAGTTGATAAGTATGACTGGGTGGAGGCGATATGTAATTACATTCAACCCTAGGTTGGTAATGGCTACAGTACTATTCAGTTAGAACGGTAGTGAGTATTTCAGTGTGACTCGGTAGTGTCTATAATATTATGTAATTATATCAAGTTGCAAACCAATCATGTTGCATGAGTAGTGGCTACAATACTATGTAATTACATCAAGTAGCGAGTATTTCATAGTGGTTGAGTGGTGGCTGTACATATATATAAATAGTTATTCATAACTGATAATAGCTATATAGACTTGCTATTATGTAAAAAGATTGAGTATTGTGTCATATGTATTGAACTTAAAACCTTCGATAGGACGTTTTTCTTCTGCAAAAAACTTCCATTTTCATGTAACCCTTGGGGGATCTTGCTCCCCCCATATTCATATAGATATCATCCGTTCGTCATAAATGATGTTCATGTCTATATCCTTTGACAGCTTTCAATTTTTCTTCCATAGCACCGTTCCATAATTGATGATATGTAGATAGACTTACTACAGCTTTCGTGATTATGTATTCAAATTTTGAACATATTAAGTCTAAATTCGCACGTTACGGTTTGTACTTACACGTATTTATTAAGTAGCCAATTTCTATATTTATTTTGCTAAAACAGTTTCACTTGAAATCGGTTGTCCCAAGTTATCTACGAAGTTACAAAACGCAAACTTTCTTGGATCGTTTCAACACCGAAGTTTATTTAACTTCGTATTATATTTTATTGCTTCAGTTGAATAAATGTATGTTACATCATGTAGCGGTCATAACTGAGAGACAATAGATAGCGTATATCTTAAAATATGACGTGTGAGGCCGTCACTGTCTCGGTGCTGCTTGATCGTCTTACTTTGTAATATATTTTTTTTCCGTAATAACTGTTCATTGTTCTTTGGAAGTATCATTATTTGTTCATGCTATTAACATTGCCTGTTCAGGGATAGATAAAACACGTGGGATTTTCACCTTTAGCACACTTTTTAAACATAACCGTAACTAATCGAAACAGTTATCAGAGGTGATAGTTTAGGAACTATTACAAGTTATGATATCGTTAAAAGAGAATGGAATTGAACCTAATGTCTCATTGTTAGCAAAAAATAAATGAACTGCTGTCGTTAGATGGCTTTAACACTGTTATCCTTAGATTACACAAAATATAGCTAACGAAGGTTTGCTATATTTGATACATAATTTTAAATTTAAGAACCAACTGAATTTATGTTTTAAAACAAAATTCATTTCATGGTTTGATTTTTTTCATTATTAATCTTATATTTCATGTTTAGTCGAAATCATATATATTTTTACTTCAGCTACATAAGATTTGAAAAACGCGTGCTAAGAACCCGAAACTGTTAAGTGTTACGCTTCTAAAAACCTGTCTATCTTTCGATATTCTCTCCTTACTCTTGTTAAACGCGGCGTTGAGTAAAGGAGCGCGTTCACAGGCCACTTCATTCGCTAGTAAGTTTCATCACGTGCATCCTAGTCTTGTCGTGTTGGGGTGCGCAAGGCATCAGATCAACTCAATCAATGACAAGTGAACGTGGATGCTCGAAGTCAGCCGAATAACTTAAAGCGAGATTTGTGGGAAAGAACCGAGTAATTCGCCAATATCGCTCTTTAGTGTAGCCGCTAACTTACTATATTACTTTATAACACTTGGTAATATTATTAATTGGATTTCGTAAGAAGTGACTATCATTACTTACGTCTTGTCCAGTAAGCATTAAAATACATCTTGTGATAGACTATTTGACGCGAAAACAATACATAAGTAAGAGACTATTATTCATTAAATCTGTAACCATGGCACCTCCTGACAGTATTGTCCGTTTAATATACTCATAAGTTAGTAAATGGTTAGGACAGATGCATTGTTTAAAACTCAATTTGAGTTTATCTGCGGGTAACTTAAGACCCCTTTTTTAAACCCAGAAAAGGTAATTAATGCCAACATAAAAACACAACTCTATAGAAACTAGACTACATGTGGAGGAACGATGTCCTTGTTGGATCATGGATAAAACAGGAAATTGTATGTCTAAAAACGAAGTTGATCATGGTGGCGAGTCTCAGAAGCTTGCAACTTCAATTGCCGAAGATTTGGAAAAAGGAGTGTTGGAACGCCGTCGAACTATGTCCTTGCCGTCTCGCCCCATTGGCTTATCGGCTGAGTTACTAGAAAAAGCTCGAAGTGTCCGGGGCTCTGCAAGCTGTACAACATCTCCACAGAAGGTCACTGAAAATGATCAGCCTAATTCAACAAAGCAGTCTACTCTAAAATGGATGGACCCCAAAAATTCCACAATTCGGCAGCATTATTATCCAGAAGGTGGTTGGGGGTGGGTGGTCTGTGCCTGCGCTGTTTTCGTACATGGCCTTACTACCGGTGTTCAGCTGTCGTACGGTATGTTTTACGTGGAAGTTCTAAGGATGTTTGGTGAAGACAAGGATCAAGAAGCAGGTGAGTAGAAATATCTCCGTCGCTTTCTGATTAGTTGACATTAGTTAACTCTGTGTCGTAAAGGTACAACGTAGCATTGGCAAATGAAAAGTAAAATTTATACAAGTTAAGAACTGACAAGATGATCTGAGGCTCAAAATATGATGATGTTTAATAGCATTCATCTTTGACTAATGTACAGCATGTCAACAATAAAACATAATTTACGCATTTACTTTCTAGAAGAGCAAACTGTGCAGTGTGTTATTTTTGAATTGTTTGATTAATACAGATGCACAAATCAGTGTATTTTGATAACCATCGCCACACAATGTGTTTAGTGTTTCATTATTTGGTATTAATGAAACTAAACCTTCCAAGATGGCAAGTAAATCGTAGAAAGCTTATTTTGGTAACATTTATATGACTAGTTAAGGTACTCACAATAGAAATTGTATTTCCAAAGTAAAACTTACAGTATCTCTGAAAACTTTAAATATACGTCGATACATTACTGCAAGTGTTGGGAGTTGAATAACGTTTTGAATTCTGTTTTAGAGATAAATACACGTAAATATACACAATAAATATACACACATTGCAGAACACAAACAAAAATATTTTGTCCACTTTTTTAGAGTAGTCAAAGAAACCACAGATAAATTTTGCAGGAAACGGAATCGATAATATATAAATTGAATAAAATGCTAATTCGATACATATTAAACGGAATATAACACGAACTTCAACTAAATCAAGTACACAACCTAGACAAGTGTTGAGTAAGTGATTTAGTTTTCTTTATACTGAAAGTCGTGTTATATACCTCTTATTATTTTCTCTATATTTCATTGATTCAAACAGCCTCATCTTGAATAAAATGTAAATTAAATTGTTATGTATTTAAATAAAGTACATATGCTTTTGTCAAAATTTAAAATTAGAAATACAATGTTTGGTACACAAAAATAAAAACAAGAAACAATGTTCAGTTAGAAGTTGCAGTACCCAGTTTTAAATAAACTGAACATATTGCAAATACAGTTCGTTCACTAAACTGGAAAAAAGATTATCTTTTATGATTCGTTCTTACTACCAATATACTTACCAATGAACTGGTGTAGAGTTGCATATTATTACACACTGAAAAAAAGTGCAATTATTGTCACTATGATGAAGTAAAACTGTATTTTTCACACTGCGATGCATTGAAAGAAACATGATATTAAAGCAAAGACACTTAAACGGTGTGGTGTATCGAAGTAAACATAGTACAATTACACTGTGAAGAAAAATGGTTTAAACGAGACTGAGGCAATAATAAGATAGAATAGAAATACAGTTTTAGTATAATTAAATAGCGTGGGAATCACGTTTAGCAGAAAAATATTCACTATTCAAAATATCTTTAATACGGTTATGAATACATTTTTAATGGTATTGTGACATTTTGTACCAGCTCCAGCTATAAAAACGGAAATATGCCTTGTATTATCAAAATAATTTAATATATATATATATAGATATGTACACCAACTCCTATTAAACTGCACCTCCTGGTTTTCACAGACATCGTCAATGAATTACAACGCCAATTACGTAATCTCATAATATCAACATTTGAAGATAAACGTTTCAATAATTCTACTTTCTTTCATCATAGGAACTAAAGCAGTAACACTGTGGAGACGTGTTTCCAATATGCTTGTTTAATTCTGTTTATTGATTATTTAATCTGTGTTAATTAAATTGATTTTAACATAAATATCAATAGGTATACTATGATTTTAGCCAATGGTGGACTTGCCCGCCGGGCAACTGGGCCAAATGTCTGTGGGCCCCCCGATAGAACTCGAGCATTGGTGCCCCCTGAAATATTATAGCTTACCACTTAATAACATTCAAACCCGTGTTCATAAATTAAAATTAGTGTCCTTTATCTGTCTTTAATGGCCAAATTGATGTTGAACACTATAATAAACACTGAATACATTAGACCTGTAATATACAGCCAATATTAGACCCAATTTTTGCAGGACATGCCACAGGAAAATATAAAACACATTCATAGCCTTTTGAGGGAAGTATTTTAAACAACTGAACCCGTCGCATCCTATAAATCGCTAGCCTATTTTTAGAATTTTACTTATGTAATAGATGGGGATTCCCAATAACTTTCAGAGCATAGACCTAGATACTTGTGTAGATTTGTCCATGCATGATTGAATATAACTGCGTAAGCGTACATACAAGTTACAGAACCATACTTCTCTCCTGACTAATAGCTTTATGTTTTCTATAACAGTATGAGAAAAATCATGAAATAGCTGCATGGTATGAGCAAGTCTTGAGCCTGTTGTTTAAAATTGACAACAGTCTGTAGATTTCATATGTTAAACAATAAATAATATCATAAAAGAGAAGAAAAGCCAGTGGATGCCAAAAGGGTAAATCTTCTAAAATGAGAAATTTGCAGGATGCTGTAAAGATCACCAAAAATATTGAATCAGCATTTGTCGGTCAAAATGCTCAGTTGAATAATAATAATGATCAATCCTCGGGAAGTGGATCTGTGCGTAAAAGGCTATACTAAAGTTTAGTTTTGCTCATATAAATATCAGTTTGATCACATTATTATTTTATGAAGTAATAACGGTAGCTCATTTTTGCTGATAATCATATATATTATAGGCCTATCTGGCAAAAGAACGTTTTTAATAAGAAAATATTAAACTTTCAAGCTGCAATTGCTACAACAATTACGACCATGTATTATGTACAATGTTATATATCTTCAACAATTACTACTGTGTAAAACTTGTAGGTCTCCAATAATAATACACTGTTATAAACTCAACGTCCAACTATTATATTAGGATTAATGGGCTTGTTGTGTCTGGCAATTTTGCTGGCGAATTTCACCGGTGAAAAGTTGCCGATATTTGGCGAATCTCTCGAGCAATAATAATACCGAACAGCACATCTTTACTTCTGTATATCAGATGAAAGATTATTAGATTATCAATACTTTGCGTATAGATAATTATTTTGCACTGAAGTTGGCCAGTAGAATGCTTAACAGATCCTGATATAACGAGGTGAATGCTTAATATAGGGTCTGCGGTTTCGAAATTTCGAAACCATCTCTCGAGGAAATTATTAAGTGCAAAACAGTCTCGTGTCTGTATGATTTATGTTATATTTTTTCAATATCAATATTTTATATATGATCATGTATTATGTACAGTGTTATATATCTTCAACAATATCGTGCTAAATGTTTTTTTACACATTTATAAAATAAGTTCGTATTTATGGTGCGCGCTTATTTGACTAGTATTTCTAAAACACTTCAAGCGGCACGAAGAGCTGACAACCATTCTAGCTGGTCAGTACAGGTCTGGTTGTTAATGACTCCCATGGCGTATTATACGTGAATTTTGCCTAACATCAAAATCTGCTGTGAAATTTGCTAAGTACAATAAGCCGGATTACTCTTATCAGAATGATGTGTAAATTATCCATACCTGATGTCACAAGTTTATCTTTTACGAGTTACAAGGACACTGTTACATCTATTCATTTATTTGACAAAGAGAACCATAAAATCACTTCCCACATTGAGCATTTCAAAATAATCAACAGGTTGCACAAACAACGGACCATGAAAAAACTTTTGAAACTACTCGACTTGTTCATTCGTGGAAAGATGATGATGGTGTTATAGCAACAGCTGCAACACACTTGGAAACCCCACACAGCAATGAGAAATACGAATGAGAAACAGAAACAGACGACTCTCACGAAAGTGAAATATCTGATGGTGTGAACAAGTTTCCTAAATCATCAAGTGTCGATATACACAGCAAATTGTTTGTCCAGCATTTGGTTAAGCCGATTGAAAGTATTCAATTCCACCCGGATGTGTACTAACGAAAAACAGTTGATAGTACAAAAATAATAAAATACCATGACTCTCTTTTCCAAATCAGCAACAGACGTTTTTCTGCACTACTTGTCTAGGTTTTCAAGCAGTAATATCAAGCCTTTATTTGTTCATGGATGCAGTGACTGACACCACATTCATCAAAGTGTAGGGGAACATGAATAATCTAAGGAACACATGCAATGATGTGAAGTACATGTGATGAATAGAATCGGTAGAAACGTCTTGTCCTAGGTACATGACATGCTGCCTAATAAACAAAAACTTAAAGTTAAGGAGAATCGTAAAATTGTTGATAGAATTATTGCTGTTATCAGGGTTATTGGAAAGCTTAATTTTACATTTAGAGGACACAGAGCTGAAGGTGCACATGAGCTGGAAAAAGATGAAATAAATCACGATGTTTTCTTGGAAGTGATTAAAATTCTGAGTCAGTATGACATGTTACTCTCAAAGCAGTTGAACAAAGTAACTACCGACTCCAAGGAACGCAAACAGTCTGAAGCTACTGGAAGAGGTGCTCCAGTTACTTTCATCAGAAAAATAATAGTCAACAAGCTGTTTGTTATGATGAAGATTAAGATCCAGAACCTTGTATCAAATGAAGCTAGAAATGTTGATATGTTCCCACTACAGGTTGATTTCACACAAGACATTGCTACAACTGACCAGTATGCTGTAATATTGCGGAATGTGCTTGGTGGGAAAGTAATAGAAATGCTGCTAGCTCTCACTCCCTCTCATGACCACAGTTGTAATGGACAAGGACTGTTCTATGTAGTAAAAAAAGAGTAAGAGTATTTGGAAGTTACAACCAGTGTGTTTCAAACAGAACAGATGAACAGCAGCTTGCCATGGGTAGTACAGTGGTTTTCAGGCAAAACTCTCTTCTGCTGTGGATACAAACGTCCACGTGTGGTGCTATGCACAAGTATTCAATTTAGTTGTGGTAGGCTTGACAAAGGTGTGCGTTGTAGTAATATCATTATTCGATCTATCGCAAAAAATCGCAGATTACTCTACTTTAAAAGTTCCTACAAGTGAATGGATATTTAGAAAATGGAAATTGAGAGCA